CTAAAAGGAGGAATGTGGACCAACACACATGAAAGATTAGCCAGACTTGTAAATAAAAAAACAATCATAATTGTGATCATGATAAAGGATGGCTGTGGCAAAAGACTGCTAGGCAGCCCCTTCTTTCTTACCAATATAACCCTAATTTTGCTTAGCCTTCACAGCCTTAGGACATGGATACCTCTAGTGCTTACCTGGCAGATTGTTATTCTAAGTCAATCGTGGTGATTCCACAGACTTACTTGTGATGTTATTCTGACGAAAGAGCTCTGAGAGAAGGGCCTCATGAAGCCCCTGGGCAAGGGTCTTCCTGTTTTGGGAAGAGGGTGACCGCTGAGAGCTGCTACACCACTTTTAGAGTTGCTGTGTGAACAGGTGATATTTGGGCCTGTGGCACTTTCTTGCAATCCAGGAAGCTGCTCACAATGAAGTCAATCTTCTGAGGGGGTCACAGTAGAAAGATGCAAACAACTTGGATCTTTGATGATATCAAGGAACTGCTGAAACCCTGAAATTGCCCAACTCGGGGGTCCCTGTGATGTGAAATAATAACTTCCTTATCTTTTAAGTCAGTTGAGTTGGTTTCTCTTACTTGCAGCCAAATACATTCCTAAGTGATGCACTCATTAAGGTTTGTTATTTTGCTCTTTAAACAGAAAATGTGAATTAAAACACTTCATTCTTGTAAGTAAAGAATTTATTATAATGGATGCAAAGGAATTTTTTAGTTTTAAGTCAAAAAAATCCTCTAAGATATAAATTACTACAATTATCTTTCTAAAGAATCTTGTTCTTACTACATTGCCATTCCTTTTGATATTATTTTTAAGCACATCTTTTTACAATCTATTGCCAAGTTAATTCAGTTTGGTGAGCAACAAATATTAAACACAGATTACCTTGGAGAATTTTGTGTTGTGTTGTGTTGTGTTGCAGTAGAATTACATTCAACTGTGCTGAAACCCACCAAACTCTTAGAGAGATCATATTTGTGGTCACCATAGTGTGTGTGGGAGGGGGTGGTGAGGACTTGGAGGCCGGGGAAAGAGAAATTAGAGAAAGGTGGTTGAAGCTACAAACTTCCAGTTATAAGGCAATATATGGTGAGGATGTAATGTACAACGTGAGGACCACAACTCTGCTGTGTGATACACAGCAAAGTTGTTAAGAAAGATCTAAGATCATCACAAGACGTTTCTTTGTTTTCTTTTTGTTGTATCTGAATGAGACGATAGATGTTAACTAAACCTATTGTGGTAATAATTTTACAATATATATAAACCAAACCATCATGCTGTCCATGTTAAACTTATACAGTGATGTATGTTCATTATTTTTCAATAAACCTGGAAGAAACAGAAAAGAAACAAAAGCATGGGCAGCTGCAGAAGCTTAGAGGTTTGAAACAGTCAAACCATTGCTTGGAATTCTTGGAAGAGGGGTATCTGGAAACAATGGAGGCTGCAGTTAAGATTGGAGGGAGAGCCAAAGGCAGAGGGGCTTCTGTTTCATTTTCAGTTTGGGATTCTGTGAGGAGCCTAGCTCACCAGGGAGGCTGCAGAGGAGTAGAAGTGGTGCTATGGCATGGCCAGACAGTGAGAGGGCCTGCGCAAGGCCTGCAGGTGAGCCGATATCCCATATGTCTCAGCGGGGGAACATGGAAGTGTGTGCAGAAAGGGCCCTAGGTCTGGAATGAGGAGGGGGTGCAGTGCGTAAGCAGGTGATGTTGGGGCACACGCAAAGGCTGGGTGGGACCGATTGCATCACCACTGAAGGCCACCTGGGTGTCATATCCAAGAAATGGTTATCTAATCCAAGGTTATGAAAATTTACACCCATATTTCTTCCTAAGTGTTTTAGCTCTTACATTTAGGTCTTTGATCTATTTTGAGTTTATTTTTACTTATAGTGGGAAGTTGAAGTCCAATATAAAAGATGGTCTCATAATTAATTTCACCTAACCTTTTTACTTTTTTTAAAGTGGCTACCAGAAAATTTTTAATCACATTGAGTTGCAGAGATCTGAAATAACCTGCTCAAGGTCACACAGCTGAAAAGTTTCAAACTCAGAAATCTGATCTTAACCATTACACTCTGGTGCCTTTTGCCAAATACACCAGACATTCATGTTGGCCGCTCAGTGGTTTCTATTCCTCTACAGGAGGTACTATATGCAAAGCAGAATTATAATCAGGAGATGGCTTTGTGAGTATCAAGTCAGAGGAAAGAGAGTCACTGACGTAAATTGAAAGGCTAATGGCATCAAGACCCCCAATGGGGTCAAAATATGCCCAGTGCAGTGATGGTGCAATTGAATTTGGGGAGTTATGGAACCCCTTCCCAGGGATACTGCCAACTTCTGCCTCTTTGTGCTTGTGTTTATTTTCTTTTTAGTTGTTTCTGGAATGGCAGTTCCCCTTTCATTGATATAGTCCTTCTTTTTCTTTTTTTAAATTCTTATTGAAGTATCATTGATGTACAATCTTGTACTGGTTTCAAATATACAACAGTGGTTCAAAAGTTACTCATATTATTGAATCCTCATCCCCTTCTAGTGCGGTTACTATCTGTCAATGTAGAAACATGTTATGGATTCATTGACTATATTCTCCATACTGTACTACTATCCCAGTGACCAACTTATATTCTGATTGAGAATTTTTGTGCCCTTTTATCCCCCTCGCACTCCCCACCCACCCATCCCAATTCCTCTCCCATGGTAGTCACTAGTCATTTCTCAGTGTATGTAAGTCTACTGGTTTGTTCATTGTTTTGTTTTTGTTTTAGATAACACAAATAAGTGAAATCTTATGGTATTTGTTCCTCTCTACCTGGCTTATTTCACTGATTACAATACCCTCTAGATCTATCCATGTTGTTGCAAATGGCAAGATTTTTTATGGCTGAATAATATTCCATTGCATATATAAACCACATCTTCTTTATCCATTCATCTAATGATGGACATTTAGGTTGCTTCCATATCTTGGCTATTGTAAATAATGAGGCGATAAACATAAGGATGCATATGTCTTTTCAAATCAGGGATTTTGTTTTCTTTGGGTAAATTCCTATAAGTATAATTACTGAGTCGAATGTATTTCTATTTTAAGGAAGCTCCATACTGCTTTCCATAACAGTTGTGCAATTTACATTCCCACCAACAGCGTAGGGGGGTTCCCATTGTCTACATTCTCACCAACACTTATTATTTCTTTCTTTTGGATGGTGGCCATTCTAACTGGTGTGAGGCAATATCTCATTTGTGGTTTTGATTTGCATTTCCCTAATGATTAGCAATGTGGAGCATCTTTTCATGTGCCTGTTGGCCATCTGAATTTCTTCTTTGGAGACATGTATTCAGGTCTTCCACTCATTTTTTAATTGGGTTATTTGGTTATTTGGGTGTTGAGGTATGAGTTATTTGTATATTTTGGATGTTAACCCCTTGTCGGATAAATTGCTTATGAATATATTCTCCCATACTATAGGTTGCCTTTTGTTCTGCTGATGGTGTCCTTTGCTGTACAGAAGCTATTTAGTTGACATAGTCCCACTTGCTCATTTTTGTTTTGTTTCCCTTGCTTGAGGAGATGCATTCAGGAAAAAATTGCTCATACTTATGTTCAGGAGATTTTTGCCAATGTTTTCTTTTAAGAGTTTTATGGTTTCATGTCTTACATTCAGGTCTTTGATCCATTTCAAGTTTACTTTTGTGCATGGGGTTAGACAGTAATTTGGTTTCATTCTCTTACATGTAGCTGTCCAGTTTTCCCAGCACCAGTTATTAATGAGGCTGTCTTTTCCCCATGATATATTCATAGCTCTTTTATCATATATTAGTTGACCATATATGCATAGGTTTATATAGTCCTTCTGATAGCATAATACCTACAACCATGTTCTTGCTCTTCCTGTTTTGAGTCTAGAAAATATTTTGCATTTATGCTGACCAGTTGGATGCCCTCCTCCACTGGACCTTGGCTTGATTGGTCAAAGCAGGGAGCTCTGACTGACCACAGTCCAGCTTCCTTTCCCCTTTCATAACTAATCTAAGTCCTGAGATGTTTATGCCTACATATTTTATGCCTATGTATGCCTGCCTACATATGCCCATCCCACTATTCTGTAATTATCTGTTTATCTATCTCTTTCCCCACTTGACTGTGCTTCACCCTCAGGACCATGTCTGATCACCACAGTTTGCTCAGCCCTTAGCAAAGTCCGTGGTGCCAGAAGCACCCAGTAAATGTTTTCTGAAGGAGTCAGAGAGGAAACTAGTTTACCTTAGTTGCTTTTCTTCGAAACAGTGTGGGAAAGTTACACAGCCAAGTTTCCTAACTTATACGTTGGGGTGATAACACCTGTTTGTAAAGGTTATTGAGATAGTGCTGGGGAGGGGGAGCAGATATGAGGAGGCTGTGCCACAGGAGTGTGAGGAAGGAGTCAAGTAATAACGACAGTATTACTAATAGTTACAGCATTTCAATAGCTGTCACATACTAAGTGTTTTATACCACTATTCATTATTTCCAACTCTTTGAGGAAAGGATTAGTGAACCCATCGTGCAGATAACAAAACTAAGATTCAAGAAGTAAAGCTGGGATTCAGAGCGTGACGTGGAGGCTGAGCATGGGCATTCGAGTGCCCATCTCACAGGAGAGCTTGGTAGCTGGCTCCGGTGAGCCATCATGAAGAAGACCTTGTCTCGGCTGTCCTCCTTTAGCACCTATCCTTAATAACTTGGGGTGACGCACAGACCTGAGAAGGAAGCTGACTCAGACATCTAAAGTTGCTGGTGCAGAGCAGGAGAGAAGAGGCCCCTGGTTTGGGGAAGTACAAACCAGACTAGCCACAGGGAGCTAATCCACAGCGAGGGAGAGAGGTCAGGAGGGAAAGGAGAGCTGGGAGGCTGCAAAGCAGCGAGGCAGGGTGACAGACAGCAACAGAGATGCTGCTCTGTAATGTGATGAGGCAGCGGCCTGGCCAAAGCTATTCTGGTCGGCACTCACTGGAGCTGGTGAAGTACAGTGTGGACAGGTCCTGTTCTTTTCCTCAGGGTTACAGAGGTGAGTCCACATCTCAGGCTCCGTGTATCTGTGTGTATGCACGCATGCACACACACACACACCTGGATACTGATACTGAACTTTCTTCCATTCTAAGTTTTACCTATGTATTTCCTAATGTCTCTAAGAGAAGTTGTGGGCTATTGTATTCATCAAACAGGGGGTATAGTTCAGAGTTGGTGGGGAGGCAGAGAATAAGTAACTGAGGAATGTAGCACTGGCCACACTGACGAATTAGTCCCAAGTTGCAGAGGCATTTGGTCGGAAGCTGTGATCCTTCTAGTGCATCTAGGCAATGTTGCTTAGTGGTTGAAGGCAGGGGCTTGGGTCTACCCATGGCTCCACCTTTTACCATCTACATAAGCTTAATTATTTTCCCATATCGGAGTCTATTTCCTGAACTGTGAAGTGAGAACAGTATTCACACCCACCACATGGGGGTGCAGAGAAGGCTACGTGAAAAAGGACTTCTCTGTGTGCAACTGGCCCTTGGCAAGCGGACACAGTATTCTCTTCTTTTTCAGCCTGCCCAGAGGTTAATGGTGTGGTATGTTCCCAGTTTGTTTGTAGGCTTCTTATTCAGATGACTTTGGATTTTGATAAGCTGGGTTTGAAAAGATTAACAGATTGAAACACTTAGTGAAAAATAAAAAAGCTAGTTTACGGGCTTTCTTCTAGAGCTGGAATAAAGGGATCACAGTTTTTGGGAAGCTGGTTAAATGGGTTCAGGGATATACCAGGCTCTAGAGCAGCATTTCTCTGTACCTCTGGGGCACATCTAGGCCTGACACTGTCATGAGGGCCCTCACACATGCGTACCTGGGGAGGCAAAGCTCTGCAGGGGATTTAGCCATTCCCAAACATTGTGGCCAGCCATGTCGCCTAAGGCTTGAGAGCACTATTCAAATATGACATAGCAATGTATCAAGACTATGGGCCTGCCCATGACAAGGTGAGGGAAAATGGGGTGAGGGTCTCTGAGAGTTTCATCTTTCTCTCCCTTTAACTGGGGCTTGCACAGTGCTTGCTAGAAGCAGAAGGACAGTTCTGGGCACTTTCAGCTGGCTGAATCCCAAGACAGGGAAGGGGACAGCTCTGGCCTTTCAACTGGAAGGGCCTTGTGGACTCATCCAGTCCAGCCTCACAAAGGCTCAAGAGCCACCAGTGCTTATTTGGAATCTCTTGTCCAAGTAAGTGATAGGGGAGCCCACCCAGCACCCACAGCACCCTCAGTGGGGGCTCTCCATGATGACAGGATGGACGGGGTGCACCCAGGAATGTGAGAGAGAAGCTTTAAGAGGATCTTTTCTCTTTCAAACCTAAGCAAGGAAAGTCAGAGGAAGATGCAAGCCATGTGCCATTTTCTGCTGCCTGTGGACCGACTAAGCAAAATGATGAACAGGCCAAGACTTATCTTTCTCCTGATTCATGAACCTGAATTTGTCCTTGTAGTATTTGATGTAGTCAATTAATAAAATGCTTACATTTGCCTTTTATAATAAGCAGGTAAATTTCCCCATAACATGTCCTAAGTGACTGTGCCTTTGAAATGAGTGTGACCCTCTGTGGGTGATTTTTGTATCGCTTGATAGAGAGTAGTGTTGAATATCCCTGCTCTTCCCTTACATTTATCCAGCAGGCCTCCTAGAGAAACTGATCTGATAGATCCCCTCTTTGAAAACTTTTCTTTGCTTAGTTGTATCTGACAGAGATGCTGAGATGTTTTGCCAGTTCCCAGGAAACCAGTGGGGAAGACAGAGTCGCTGCCTGAGGTGCCCCAGCAAGCCAGCAAGCCGTGGCTTTCTCTGGCATAATGCAAGCCCATAAGAGCTGTGTGATCCCAGGTAAGTCATACAACCTCTCTGTATATCAGTGGCTTTATTTCAGCAACGGGAACAGTCACTGCCACCCTGCCTGCCTTACATGGTTATTGTGGGGGACGAGCTGGCATAATGTACGACAAATCGCTTTATAGAGGCAACAAGCCATACAGGTGCACAGGGTCATTATTGTGTGTTATGGCTGACTGCCCTCAAATGGAGTCAGTCTGGAAAATTTCATTTCCCCAGGTGAAAACATATTTGTATCCAAGTTGGTTAAATCCCATCAAGGACTAGGGGACAAAAGCCTAGGTCTTCTGCCCTCACTGGACAATGGAATTGCCTCTTGGAGACAATTGTGAATGTTATCTCTGTACCTCCTAGTACTAAAAAATATTTCTAGACTGTATGTCCTTGGGTTTGGAAATCATTACCCAAAAGTTTTTTCCGCTGAAGTTCTGCAGCACTACCCAGCACCTCCCCAGAGCTGCCCTGCATGGAGCTCAGATACAAGAGCTCTGTGGAATGCCAGACACAGAAATTGCCTCTGGTTGAAGAGAACGTCAGGAAAGATGCAGGGACTTCAGAGGGGGGAGCTGGGAAGACTTCACTATATTGACCAGTCTACTCATAGTGTCATAAATACTAAAGCTGGAAAATTATCTAGAGCAAACTTGTCATTTTAAGATGAGACGATTACAGCTCAAAATAAGTTAAGTTAGCAAAATAAGTTTAGTAATAGGTTAAGAAGTCATTTTTGGAAAACTTAGTTTTCCTGATTTCCAGACCAATGTTCTTCCCATTACATCATTAATAATATGAACATCAACGATCACAACAGCTAGTATTGAACAATGAGTGTGTGTTACACCTTGTGCTAAGCTATGCACAGACACTCATTCATTTAACTTCTACACCAAAGCAGTGAGGCATTTCATTATTGTTCCCATTTTTCAGATGAGAGAAATGAAGTTGAGAAATATTAATTACTTTCCCAAGGCCAGGCTATTGATATTTAAATCAGTCCACATTATAGAGAGTAAAGAGGGGTATGTGCATTGTGGTTATTAAAAGCACTGTTTGTACATTTTTGAAAAACTTAGAAATGAAAAATCACCCTGTACCCCAAATATCAAGGACCCTAAAATACTCTGAATTGAGTGGTCACACCACACTCATCCTGACTTTATATTCACAAGATCAACTGGAAACAAGGGTGTGTCACTTCCACATTCTTCCGCATGCCAAGCTTTTAGAATTTAGATATGAGATGAGTCATAAGAGAAATGTGCAGGCTTTGGCCACAGTGGAAATGCTCATTTCCCCAACTGCTCAGCATCAAAACATTGAGGCCAACTATTTTTATGTGCTAGGAATGTTAAAAGCATTTTTCAGTCTTGGCGCTGCTTTTAAAATAATTAAGGCAGTGTGGGTTCATTTTTAAAATTCTATACTCAGGCTTCTCCCCTCGCTTTTTGGGAGTTGTGATGAGAAACTCACTAAGCCTACAGTTATCAGTTGCCACAACAAATTTTCCTGCTCCCTAATCTTGACATTCCTATTTTTCTAACTTTTGCTTAAAACCGTAACTCCTCTATAAAGTCTTTCTATACTCTGGCACCAGTTATAGAGTTTGACTTTAAAATTTCTGAACATGTATTTAATTATAACACAAAAGATCAAAGAACATTTTCTAGAAATTCTTTCTTCCCTGAAAAATTCAAGTTACATTATGCAATGCTATAAACAAATGTCCTGAAAGCACCAGAGTTAAGTCCCTGAAATTTCTCCATTACAAAATAAAGCAGAAAAAGAAGAAACAGCAGTATCTGTAATCAGCCCAAGTTCTTTAAGCCCAAAGAGAGATTGGAGGAAACTTGACAAGAATGGGAGAAAAAAAATCTTACAAAATCAATCCTGTAGTTATTATTGGCTGTGATTGGAATGCAGTGTATAACACCGATGGGAAAGAGGGTCATGATGTTCATTTAACAGGGCACTGAAAGAGAATGAGCTGTGATAACTGGAGTCTACACTCTCGCTCTTGCTTTCTTTGTCTCTTCCATTCATTTATCTATGTGTTCATGTATCTGTCCATGCCCAGCATTAACAGACTTTAGTCCCACTTCCCTCTCACCCTGCATCCTATCCACACTACTCAGATTATGAGAAGGCAGTGTGCTCTCTCCTCCTTTCCACTGGCAGCGTCCTCTACCTGAAACACAGTTAGCCTTGCTTTCTTCTATCCTATCCCCTGGCTAATTCCTAATTACTGTCAAGACTCATTTCAGGCCATTCTTCTATGAGTGGCCTTCCCTGGCTTCTCTTCCCTCCCTGGTCTAGGTTAAGAACAGCACTCATATATTCCAGAGCATCTTTTTGCAGGCCCCTTTTTGGCTCTGATCCCTCTGTAATGTGATAGCAACAGAAACTGTTTACCATTATTAAACATTCATCAGGCTCTGAGCTAAAAAGCTTTATAGGCATTACCTTGCATAATCCTTACAACAACCTTTGGTGGTAGGTCCCAAGGAGCTTGGAAAGGAAAGCAACTTGCCCAAGGGTGCAACTAGTAAATAAGAGGGACAGAATTCAAAGTCATGGATTTGAACTCCTAAACCTGTGCTTTTACCCACTGCCCTGTATAACTTCAGTTTCTTTGCCCTAGACCATATACATTTTAAGGGCGGAAACACTCCTTATCTTTGTGTCTACAGCATCTAGCACAATGACTGCCACAGAGGGGGAAAAAAAGTTTGCTGAATGAATGCAAATGATTGACTGACTGAGTGGTGGAGACAAGGAGCTAAAGGGAGGTGAGAAATTGGGAAGAGCAATCAGAGTGCTCCTTGAATTTTGGTAAGTAGGGAGAAAGAAAAAGAACCAATAAGGTGATAGCTAGACAGATGTACAAGATAGAGGGCTCTGTGTGTGTGTGTGTGTGTGTACAGGTGGAAGGGAATTAATTGCACTTCTAGGCTGAAGAAAAAGAGCTGGTAAGTAGTTAGTCTGAAGACATAGAAGAGAAGGGGGTCTGGTGATAGAGCATGTTCCCAGAGCTCATGCAAGGAGATGAGATCAAGCAAGAGCTTGGATGTTTGAATCAGCCCATGGGGATCATATGCCCACTGTAAGTTCCAATTTTTACCTCATAATATTTCTCAAAGGATGTATCTTCTTGAGGTTTCCACTTAAGAAAGTGTTTAAACAATTTTATTATTGCATAAATGAATGAAATAAAATCATATTAATCTAATTAACCTGTTTCACCCACATTTGCAGCAGCTGCTCTAAAGGTCAAATCTGAAACTGGTTAGGTAACAAGACTGGATAGCGCACCGAATCTGAGAAAATGAAGGTGCCCTAGAGGTCAGAGAGTCCAAATCTTCACTGTGCAAAAGAGAAAACTGAGGCCCAGAGAATAGGTAAGTGACCCAGATTACACAGTTACTGAGTGGCAGCAGAGTTGTGCTTGGGCCCTAAATCTTCAGACTGAGACTGGGGTTCATGAGCCGAGTTGGATAGAAAGGGCAGCCACCCTTAGCTTTTTGCAAATTACCTTGAAAGGCTATTGTAGTGGTCAAAATAGAATGTGTAAAGCACAGCACACATTATCTGGCACATGATAGATGCTTAAAATGTGGCTGTCAACTGTGTGACTCCACACTGAACAGGTGTGTTTGCGCATGTGTGTTCACCTGCATCAAGGCATCGGTTACCCAGGCAAGCCTCCCATTCCATTCAGACATATAGGAAAGGATTTTTGGTTACTTTTAAAATCAGTTTGGCACTCATAGTGATTGTAACCTGAAATAGCAAAGTTTCGATATTCCATCTAGGAACAGCTATGCATGTGATTTTGCTGACAAAACCCATCTGCACCTGCAAGAACAAGGCTCAAATCCTGGGTGAGGATGGATCTTTCACCAAGTGCAGCTTGAGGCTCACTGAGAAATACTGCCCGACCCAGCAAACTTACCACAATGAGAAACACTTCTGTGCCTGTGCTCTGCTCTTCCAGCCCCACATCCCTCAGCCTGCAGGACGCCGTGTTCAGGCAGGTTGGCTGGCTCTACTCTCTTCATTTTCCATGGTCTCCCCAGCAGGACTGCTGCAATTCCCACAGCAGGGACTGAAAGAGAGAGGCCTTAGGAGGTCTAGGAGGGGCCAGGTGAGCTTGCTGGCTTGTGAGCCAGAGCCGGATAGCTCAGGGCTTCACTGACTTCTGAGGTTTACGCATGTTTGTCCAGATCTCTGGGGTCCTAACACTGCACGGCCTAAGAGCTGCCCATGGTGCCTTCTGCCCACAGCCTCTGGTTTGTTCACTGTACGCATTATGCCCCTCCCGCGGCTGCCCTGTGCCAGAGCCGCCAGCAGAGCCGCTGTGGCTGGACCAGAAGGCCCCAGGCTCCAGGCTTCACTTCCTCGTCCACCTGCTCCAACCCTTCCCTTTCCTGGGACTTCCCAGCCTCACCCCTTTTGTCATCGCCCCCAGATTCTTCTTCCTTTCTGGTTTTCAAGTAGCTTCTCAATGCAGATTCTTCAGATCAACCCCCCTCAGCATCATGCTGGCAGCCGAACAGTATCAGACCTGGCCCAATGGCCAGACCTCGTTCAGACCAACAGCCCAGACTTCAGGGAGGTGGACGGGCTTTGGACGATCTCTAAGTTCCATTTCTGCAGCAGACACGGCTATTGCATCCCCCTCCCGCCACCCAGTATCCTCTTCCAAGACAGGCTGGCTTTAAATGACTAGTGCTAGAACTGTACTTATATTTAATTTCCAGCCACCTAGACACACACAGTCCCTATCAGCACAGAACCTTCATCAACCCTTTTAGTCTGAGGCCATCTAGACCTTAACCCAGTTATGTAAACTGCTCGCCTTTAGAGTGTATTCTTAAAAATTGAGATACTTTTAATCAAGTAAGCTAAAAAAGAAGGCAATTGAAAATTAGTAACTCAAATCTTTGTATCAGTCTGTCTGTATATATGTTCTTATGAAAAGTGTTGCTAACTGTAGTTATTATGTCTCAATCTGTATGTTTGTGTCTAAGTGTGTAAATGAAAAATATTTTTCTACCTCCAGATGGTATAAATAAAAATTGATTTAGAGACAAGCACTTGTGAAAATTGAGCATTCTAAAACTTCCAGAAAATTCTAATAGAAAACATTAAGCATTAATGCTAATTTAAGTTGAACTGAAATAGGCATGTCCATTTATTCCTAATTGCTGCACTTATCCTTGCAACGTATGTCCAATAAAGTGGGTGCTTTGATTGCTCTCAATCACCGGAAAGAGACGCTTTAGGCCCCTCTTGGTGGTTTGCTGATCTGCACAACGTACAGAGCACTGCTTTCTGGATCAGCTGACTTCTTCAAAGGTCAATGGCAAGCCCCACCAACGGGCTACAGCCCACATTGTCTTTTGTCCCAAGTGCAACAAACGCTGATGTAGCCATTGGGCCACATCAGAGGCAGGCTTTCCTTCTAGCCAGAGCACCTGGGCCTATGCGTCTGCTTCATCACTCCCTGGGGATGCCAAAGGCAAATGGCCAGTCACATGATATATGGTAGGTGTCTGTGCCACACCACTCCATGGCCTTTGGGTCCAGTCTCTCACCCACCCCACGACAGAATAGGTGGTTATTACCTTGGTCGGAGATTTTCCGGTGATGGGCTCCATAGGCAACAAGGCATGGTACACAGCAGCCAGTTGCTTCTCTTATCAAGATGTACCAGACCTCTGCTCCTTTCCATAGTTGTGACCAGGCTCCAGCCAGCAGCAGAAGCAGCAGCAGTGGCAGAAGCAGTAGCCTTAGGCTCGGGCCACGGGCCGGGGTCGGCGTGTCCAGCAGCGGTGGTGGCGCCTCCAAGATTACATGAGTGTAGACACACGCGAGCGCCACTTCTCCCCATCATTTCTTGGGGCGGCCCTCCCCAAGGCCACATCCACTATGACAGATTTCGGGTTCAGAGGAATCCTACTGATTGCGCCAGATGTCAGTCTGGGGAAATAAAATCCTGGGGCAAAATACCTCTAGAAACCGAAATCAGTCAAAGGAAGAAACTTTAAAACCAGTTTATTGCTTACAAACTGCAGTCCGGCTCATCTCCCTCTCCTGCTTCAGCAGCAACAAAACCGGCCCTCCCTTCACCTCTCAGGTACAGCTAAGCCCTCCGTTGCCCAGGTAATTACCCATTGATATGGAGATGACCTTCTCTTCACCACTGAGGAATATGCAAATCAACTAAAGCCATGCTTCTCTCCACCCTTGAGCTCCTGTTGATATGCATATGTATGAAAGCCAAGCGAAATATTCTGGATAAATTACTATTTTACCCACACACTCTCATCAAGTATGAGAATGCTTATTTTCTTACATCATCATCAACCTGGTATTATTAACATTTTATATCTTTGCCAATTTGATAGACAAATAATGACTATTTTTATTTGTTTTTCATAGTTGTGGGTAAAATTGAAACATTTCCAGAATTTCTCGCCTGGATTTGGTGCATCTGCGTATCAACAGGCATTCAGAGGTGGAAAGAAGTAGGCTTTAGTGCATTTGCATCCTTCCTCAGGGGTGGAGAAGTTCATCTCCATATCAATGGGTGGTGTGGCTGCTTGAGCAGGAGAGAGAGATGGGCCCAACTGCAGTTTTTAAAGCAATGAACGGGTTTTAAACTTTATTTCTCCCTTTGACTGATTTTGGTTTTTAGAGGTATTTTGCCCCCGGATTTCCTTTCCCCGGACTTACAATAGTTCAGCTAAGCATCTTTTTAAAACATATTTATCGGATAAATCTTTTTCTTCCTTTTAATTTAACTCCATATATGAATTTTTGACCACGTTTCTATTAGACTGTTCATTCTTTAAATCATTTTTTGAAGTTTAAAAAATATACTATGGGCACTATTCCTGTCATATATTTTACAAACACTATTTTCCTTGTCTTTTTTTTGTTTCCATTTTTATTGTGTTTTTTTTCTATACAGAAATATTAACATTTAAATAAGCGAGCTAGTTAACCTTTCCTTCACAGTTTTTTTTTTCATTGTTAAGATACCTCAGTCTCTGAAGTTACCTGTTTTAAATTCCTTTCTCCCAGCCCAGCCCTACCCTAGTCAGTAGTGTTAGTCTGGGTTTACATTAAATAAGTGATATTACTATCCAGGCCTCCATTTCTAAATACATTCTTTGAGTCAATGAAATTCAAGTGTACTTTTTTAACCTTGCATTTAAAAGAAATTCGTATTGGGTTACTGAAGGGGTAGTAACATAAAGGAAAGTTTCTGGGCCATGCCTGGTGTGATTAGGTAAACATGCATGCAATACTCAAAAGTACAGAGGAATAAGCAATAAAACCTGGTAGACCACTCACGAAAATGCCATTTATTGTCTTGCAATTTAAGTGAAACTGAAGAAACAAACCCTTCCCAAGACCTCATTCCTCTGCTTCCCACAATGGCTAGATCCTCACGGTTTTTATCTTTGCTTTGTGAAAACTATCTTTTCCCCTTCATAGCTGATTTCTAATTCTACTTTTCCTTTTAGCTTTTCCTGATCCTCACTGTCTTTACCAGGCTTGCCTTTTATCATTGCAAACTTCCTTACAATTTGAATGTGGGGCTGAGGGGTGGATGGAACAGGCTGCCTTGGGAAACTTTGAGCTTCCCAGGTGGAAAGTATTCAAGTTGAACACCTGTCAGGAGAGAGTGGGGCAGGAATTCTAAGGAGTAGAGTTTTAATATTCTTTTCAAAACAAAGATATTGTTCCAATTAAGCCTTAGCACATGCATACACTGACTCAAGGACTTAAAAACTATTCTGCATGTTAGGAAATTCTGTGCCACCTCATAATTCCATCTTGTTGTTGATCAGGCCACTTTTAATTTCTAGTTTTATCCAGTGCCAGGTAGATGTGTTTGCCACATTTGTAAAGGCCTAATTATTTAAAAAAAAGAAAAAAAAGGGGAAAAAAATGGAATGAAATATATCTGCACGTGAGTTTATACACACAGGAAAATCTGGAAGGGTAAATATCAAAACATCACAGTGTTTATCTGAGATGTAAAATTATGGATGATTTCAATGCTTAATTTTTGTTATTCTCAATGTTTCAGATTTTCTACAAGAAAACAAGATTCATATTTACAATTGAATGTCTATCTGATGCCGGGGTTCTTGTTTGCGGAGCTGAAGAATGAGCTTCACAAACAGTCAAGGTAGGAGAGCAAGGTACAGGCTTTTATTTCCAGATAAAGTGAAAGGACAGAGCTCC